AAAAAAAAAAAAAAGAAATGATCATAGTGCACTGTACTCTGCTATTAGCTGTCAATATGACCTTGGAGATTACCTATATTTATGTCTATGTCTGTATCTACATCTATCTATCTACCTACCAACCTATATCTATATCTATTATATGTGGCCCTTTAAACTTTAACAGCATCTTATGTACATGCACAATATCACTTAACTATAACACTTAATCTTTCCTCTGCTATCATCCCTATTTTATAGATAGCAAAAGAGAGGCTCACAGTCACATAGGTATTCAAGGCAGGACCAGAGCAGGATCCAACCCACCGGTTTGGGGCAGTGGGTTGTTTTTGCAAGAGTATATATAAAATTTGCAATCAAGGAAATCTTATTTTGAATCCTGCCTCCTCTGCCGCAGTCTAGCTAGGCACAAAATAACGGAGCGGCCACGAGGCACTTGTAGGTTCAAATAGGAACTCCTTTATTGCCCGAACTCCCGCAAACGCCACCCACGGGGGCCCTTTCAGGAACACCACACACCAACCGGAACTCCCACCACCAGAACTTCGCCAACCAATGCGAACTCTCCAGGAATCCCTGGGAGAGCTCAACCTGCCGGAACTCCGCAAGAACTCAAAAGTAGCGGGTGCCCCAGGCAGCAGGAGCCGCCCTATTGCTGGACAGCAGGGGTCTAATATACAACTGAATACACAGCCTGTTTCAATCCAGCATCATCCAGTCACAGCAATTATACACAGCTTCACTTAATTATCATCATCTTAATGGCTTGCTGGCGTCACCTCTCAACCACTCCTTCTGGCAAAAATGCCAGGCTTCATCCCGACTTGTTCTGTGGCTCTCAACACTTCTCCACATAGGCCATGGTGACTTGAGCCAGGTATTTCCCTAGCTGAGCCTCAGTTTCCTCATCTGGAAGATGAAAATGAGAATGCCCTCAGCAAAGGTGGGTTGTGTGACTGAGTTATCTCCTATGGAGCACCTGGCCATGGGATGAGCAAGCTAGCCAGGGCTCATTCCCTGGGCCAAACTAGCCTTTGGGCCTCAGTTTCTTCTTTCTCTCTCACTCTCCCTTTTCCCCTTGATACTATGACTTTGTTTTTTATTATATTATAACCCACACCACAAAGGGATCCTGATTCTTATTTCAGTCCTTGGCTACTGATGTTCAGCAATTAATACCAAAGCACTTGGATTATGATTCCTTCTCTGTAAAATAAGCCACACAGGGTTCCTTTGTCAAAACCAACACTTGCTGTACTTGTGCTAGCCACTTGGACTACTCCCCTCACAGCAGCTCCCCAAGTTAGACAAGGAGTCAGAGGCTCAGGCCAGACACTCTGGGGGCCATCAGTCCCCTTCCCCAGCTGGTCCTGCTCCCTCAGATTTGAGAGGCTGTTTCCAGTTACCATGCTAACCTGCACTGGAAGAACTTGTCTGTTTCTCTGCAATTTGAATCTGAGGAACAAGTGGAAAGTTTCACTGGTATGTGGTGGGGAAAAGGCACTAGCAGCTTGGCCCCCACCAGAGCTCTTGGCCAAGGAAGGGAGAGGTAGAAACCCCAGCTTCAGGTAAGCAGGGAAGGCTGCTCTCTGATTGGGTGTTTCAATGTTCTCTTGAAGATGTGGAATCTGAAGAGGAAAAAAAAAAACTTGCAAGGGAATTATTTTTAAATTACTTTTGTTTTAAAATTAGACATGTGTACATCCCAGAAAGTTTGGAGAGAGAAGATAATACTTTAAAAATCTACTATCCTAGTCAGGTGCAGTGGCACACACCTATAATACCAGTTATTCTGGAGGCTGAAGTAAGAGAATCGTAAATTTGAAGCCAACCTGGGCAACTTATCAAGATGCCATCTTTAAAAAAAAAAATTCCCAAAAGAATGTGTAGAAAGATACAAAGCTTATCTCAAAGTCTGGGGAGTAATTCAGGTGGCTAGCACAAGTACAGCAAGTGTTGGTTTTGACAAAGTCTCCCAAGGACTCTTTATCTGCAAAATGGGTATAAGGGTAACAGTACCTACTTTACAGAGGCTATCCAAATCAAATGAAGCTGGGCAGGGTGGTATGCCCCTGAAGTCCAGCCACCCAGAAGGCTTCCGCTCGGGAGTTCAAAGTCATTCTGGGCAATATAGTAAAACCCTGAATCAAATAATAATAATAATAATAATAATAATAAATTAAAAAGTTTTTTTTCTTTTATTTTTCAAATAAGTTTCAAAAGGATAGTGTATGCCAGGTGCCTAATATCAAGTCTGACCCATTGTAAGTACTAAGTGTTAAATCTTGCTATTTTTGCCAGGCACAGTGGCACACACTGGTAATCCTAGTGGCTTGGGAAGCTGAGGCAGGAGGATTGCAAGTTCAAAATCAGCCTCAACAAAAGCAAGGCACTAAGCAGCTCAGTGAGATTCTGTCTCTAAGTAAAATACAAAATAGGGATGGGGATGTGGCTCAGTGGTCAAGTGCTCCTGAGTTCAATTCAAACCATGGTACCAAAAAAAAAAAAAAAAAAAGATTTGGAATAAATCTTACTATTTTCCTTAGTGGCTTGCTTGTATTTATATAGCATCGTGTTATACACAGAGTGTAACTGGACAGCCTGGGTTTATGTCCAGATTCAGACACTTAAATGTATAACCCTGGGCTAGATATTTTTCTAAAGTTCAGTTTCCTTGTCTATAAAATGGGGATGATAATACTTCACAAAGCTGTTGTGAAATTATGATGCAAAAATAATATATGCAGAAATTTTAATGGTGACTTGTACTAAATATTATTTATTGTTTTTAGTTTCATTGTATTGTCTTGAAAACTTTCCACCAGATGGTTAGACCATAATCTACTCAGCTATTTTATTCTTGCTGACAATTTTTTATTATTATACACAATGCTACAATGAATATCTTTGTGCAATTAGGGAGGAAGGAGATTCCCTAGGCTGAGGTGAAAGTGCCAATTGGCATTTGGATTCGTAAGAAAATATTTTAAAATGAAAGAGTGAGGGAGTGGAAGATTCTTTCTATCATTCCCAAACCACAAATCAGATGGGCAGTGTCAAGTCCCCCCAGGGTCCTGGGGTATCTGTCTCCAGGGCAGAAGGAGGACTGTCATTCTTAGCCTTCTCCTAAGCAGGTTGCCCACTCAGGGAACAGTCCTCTCAGGGATTTTCCTAGAGGTACCTTCCACCTCTAAGTCTCAGCTTCTGAAGGTCAGTCCTTCCCAGGCATTTTGCTCTTGCCTCCTGACCACCTAACACTGGTGTTCCTCCTTGCTGGCTTCTGCAGATGCCTGGTCACACCAGCAAAGTTCTTTGCCAAGGTCCCTTTTACTCTTGAGTGTCTAAGAACGTGGACTGACCAGAGGAGCTCCTTAGAGACACTGACCCTTTGAACTCCAGCCAGGATGCAGAAGAACTGAGTCCGGCACCTCAGTTGTCCCCACCTCAGAAAGGACAGTTAGATCCTTCCATTGGCTGAGGCCAAAAAACAGTGGTGTCGCCCTCGATCCTTCCTTCTCTCCCACAACCAATCCTTTTTTTTTTTTTTTTTTGATTGGGGGGACACTGGGGATTTAACCCAGGGGTGCTTAACCACTGAGTCACATCTCCAGCCCTACTTTTTATTTTGAGAAAGGTTCTCACTAAGTTGCTGAAACTGACCTCAAATTTGGGATCCTCCTGCCTCAGTCTCCAAGTCACTAGGATTACAGGCATTCACCACCGCACCAGACATCCGACAGCCAAATCTTATCCAGATTGGAGCATTTCCCTTCACCCCTGCTTCTACCACCTGCTCCCAGCTCCACCCCGTCTACTGGATGACAGCAGTGGCCTCCTCCCTGCATATATATAATTATATATTTTAGTTGTAGATTACATAATACCTTTATTTATTTACTTTTATGTGGTGCTGAGGATCAAACTCAGTGCCTTACATGTGCTAGGCAAATGCTCTACCCCTGAGCCACAACCCCAGCCCCCTCCCCCTGGTTTTCTTGCTTCTCCTTTAGCAGGAGACAAACTATTCAGTTTGCCTAGGACCAAGGGAATTCCCAAAGCACTAGACTTTAAGGAGGAAAGTTTCAGATGAACCAGGACAAGTTGGTCACACTCCCTGAACCCATTACATTCTCTTCCCAATACCACAGTCCAAGTCAAATCATATTATGTTTAAAACCCTTGAATGATGTCCCATTTTATTTTGAGCAGATCTGAGTCCTTAAAATTGTCCTCAAGGTTACCTGTGAGCTGGCCCTAACCCCTTTGCACTGATGATGACCCATGTCTTCCCCCGCCTCCTTCATCCCTTTGTCTGTTCTGTTCCAGCCACACTGACTTCCTTGCTCTTCTTCATGCATATCACCCATGCATCCACTTTAGGGCTTGTGCATCTTCTGACCTCTTACTGGAATGTTCTGACATCCACATGGCTCTCTCCTTCACTGCCTCAGGAATCGTTGGGAATGTCACTTAGACAGCTCTTCTTTGGACGCTCTGTGCATGCTCCCCTCCCCCGCATTCCCTACCTCCCTATTCTATTTTCTTATTCTTATCTCCTGGAATACTATGCATTTGTTTATCTAGGTTTTTGTTTGTTTCTTCCCAGGTGAAGGAATGATCTGTGAGGACCAGGACTTTGTCTTCCTCTCTGCCTTCTTCCTGGATCCTAGAATAATGACTATCTGGTACAGAGAAGGCCCACCACCAACAATTTTTTTGGCTTTATTTTGTTTGGTGGTGCTAGAATCAAATCCAGGATCTTGCGCATGTTGGGCAAGCACTCTACCACCAAGCTGTACCCCAGCCCTCTACCAGTGTTTTTTGAATGAGTTCATGCATCTTTCCTACCTCTACCAATCCACAGGCTCTTACACACACAGGGTATTAACAAAGTCAGTATCCTATACCTGGCCCCAGGTAAAATCTTCAGGTTTCTGGCTTGCTGCCTCTCTCCACAGCCTCCCCACCTTGCTATTTTTAGCAGTACTTTGTTTCCTGTGGCTTCTAGGAACTGCTGAAATCCAAGTTTACAGTACAAAACAAAGACATCACAGGCATTCCTGACGACGCCCTACCTGGTTCAGCCCAGGTGACACCCCAGTGGGCCAGGAAAGTCAGCCATTTGAACAACCTCATGCTGGGCAATCTCTTCACAGCAGCAGCAGCAGCAGCAGCAGCAGCAGCAGCAACAGCAGCAGCAGCAGCAAGTTCTCCAGAACTTCCCAGCTTGTTGTTGCAGGCCATGTGCCTGAGCACGACTTCCCGTCCTGTACCTGTGTTCCAAGTGATCCAGGGCACAGGCTTCTCTTGCTTTTCCTCCTTTGCCCAGCAGGGTGTGGGCGGAGGAGATGTACCGGTCAGGGCAGAAAGGCCGGCCTTTGCACTCTTCAGTGGGAGCAGCGCTATCTTGCCAGGAGATGTGTGTTAGAAAGAGTTCATATCTTTTAGGGATATACACTGAAGCATTATGGGCAAGAGGATATAATCTCTGTAATTTACTTCAAAATAATTCAGTAGGATTAAAAATGTTTCAGTCCAACCAGCAACTGCAATCTCCAAAAATTCACTTAACCTCAATCACTGGAATGCAAATATCCACTTTCTGAATTACATTACTCCATCCCAGCAGAACTGACAAAACCCGTATGAAATGGCTGGCTTTGGCCATCAAAAGAACTTAACTGCTAGTAGAAGATGCTCAAACACAAATGAACCAAAACATACAGTTCATTCTGCCAGGAACCATGTAGCTGGGAAATGATGGGACTGGTTAGCACCTGCCCTCCCGAGGCAGGGTAAACCTCTGGATCCCAGCTCAGCAGGTTAAGTGAAATGACAAGCCCAGAGGAGGATCAGACTCAGATAGTGGAACCTGAGAGTCTTCTGGGAGGAGGTAACACAGGCTTAATGCCTTTGTATTTTTTTTTTTTAGAGAATTTTTTAATATTTATTTTTTAGTTTTTCGGTGGACACAACATCTTTGTTTGTTTGTGGTGCTGAGGATCGAACCCTGGCCACAGGGATGCCAGGCGAGCGCGCTACGGCTTGAGCCACATCCCCAGCCCCGCTTAATGCCTTTGCTTAGTTGTTGTTTGCATGCTGGGGATCAAACTTGCCTCACTTTTGCTAGGCAAGCACTCTACTACTGAGCTACACCAACAGTCCCAATCAATCAGCTTAATCTTAATGCACAAATAGGAGTTAGCAGAAGGGGAAAACCAGGGAGGAGAGCATCCCAGGAAGAAGGAACAACTTTTCTAAAACAAATTGTGTTACTTCTTGATCTGGAGACTTTTCTGTGTCTCTCCCAGCTCCGAGCTCAAACAAATGAGCACACCCTGGGATGCTTCAGCATCTCTGCCTTTATTTATTTACTTACAGTACTGATATTTATATCTAGTAAGGAAGAAATTTAGCCAGGCAAAATTTTTTTTTAAAGAGAGAGAGTTTTAATATTTATTTTTTGGCAGACACAACATCTTTATTTTATATGTGGTGCTGAGGATCGAACCTGGGCCGCACGCATGCCAGGCGAGTGCACTACCACTTGAGCCACATCCCCAGCCCATAGCCAGGCAAAATTATGCCTGTAATCTCAGATACTTCAGAGACTGAAGCAGGAGGATTGTAAATTTGAGGCTGGCCTAGGGGCAACTTAATGAGTCTCTATCTTTAAAAAAAAAAAAAATCCATGGCTAGGCAGGTACTTCAGTGGTGCAGTACCAGTCTAGTATGTGCAAGGCCCTCAGTTTAATTCCTAGTACTGAAAAAGGGGAAAAAAAGGATAAAAGAAACTCAGAGAGATACTGAAGTATCCCAGGAATACTGTCAGGTATTGTTGGGCCTGAGCTCTTGGAGCAAGGGAAAGAGAAAGCAGGCAAGAACCAGATATGCTCAGCTGTTTGAGCTTACTGCTATAGGAGCCATGGAAGAGTCTTAATTAGGAGCAAGACACAACCCAATTTGCATTTAAGAAAGCTGACTCTGTAAAAGATGGATTTTAGGGTCGACCAGCAAGGAACCTGAGGCAGAAAAGTTGTCTTGATCCATTTTGTGTTGCTATAACAGAATACCTGAGTCTGGGTAATTTATGAAGAACAGAAACTTATTGGCTCACATGTCTAGAAGCTGAGAAGTCTAAGGTCAAAGTGCTGGCATGTTTGGTGTCTAGTGAGACCATTCTGTCCTCCACGATGGTACTTTGAACACTAAATCCTCTGAGGGGAAGAAGGTTAGATCCTCATATGGCAGAAGTCCAAAAGGCCAAGGGACAAAAGGTTCAACTTTTTTTTTTTTTTACATTGGACACAATGTCTTTCTTTTTTTTTTTTTTTTAATTTTTATGTGGTGCTGAGAATCGAACCCAGTGCCTCACTCATTCTAGGCGAGTGCACTCCCACTTGAGCCAAATCCTCAGCCCTCAACTTGCTCTTTTATAAATAATATTAACCCCTTCTCCCCAAACTGCCACAATGGCAATAAAATTTCAACATTTTTTTTGTACCATAGATTGAACGAGTGCTTAACCACTGAGCAACATTCTCAGCCCTTTTTATGCTAAGTTGCTTAGGGTCTCACTAAGTTGCTGGGGTTGGCTTCAAACCTGCAATCATCCTGCCTCAGCCTTCTGAGCCACTTGGATCAACATGTGACAAATATTCAAACCAGGCTGGAGTTGTAGCTTGGTGGTAAAGTGCTTTCCTAGCATGTGTGAGGCACTTGGTTGGTTCCTTAGCTGTTGAACCATGATGCAAAGACTACTGACTCCAATTTTAAACCAAGTTAAAGCAAGCTTACATTGTGTACACAAGAGAGCTGATCAGCAACTGCCTCACCAGAAAAAAACAGGGCCAGAGGACAGCGTCTGATCTAAGGCAGGGGGGGAATTTACAACCAACAGGGTCTGACAAGCATAATACAAGGGCAGGGAGCAGATTAATGATCTACATGGCTTGACATCTCAAGGTAGAGAGTAAACTCAGATCCAACATCAATGAGGAGCAGCTGCGATTTCGGGGAGGGTTGTTATCTGGTCAGGAAGAGATGGGCACAGGTAAGTTCAAAGCACGGTCAGGAATCCCAGGCAAGTTTTGAAGACATCAAAGTATGGTCAGGCCAAATAGAAATCTTAGTATTGTAAAGTAAAACAAAAATGATCATGACTTTGTGATGAGGCTGTTAGACCAGGACACAAGAAAAGACCACTGACTCCAATTAAAATCAAATTAAAGCAAG